CAATCATCTTTGAGTTTAACTAGTATAGAACCGTAAAATTGTTGACCTATTTAAAAGTAACAAGATTTTTACTAAGAATTTTTTTTCAAGCTTTTTTTCTGTTATTGTTTACTTTATTAATCAGGTGAACCACTACCAAAAACAAGTACCAACCTACGTAGATACAGGTAACTCTCTATAAAAAAAAACTGATCCGTGTATGTTGTTTTCTATTGGAGTGAAACTAGACGGATATAGGACGGTAAAAGGAAAGACCTAATAAAATGGCTTAGCTCGATCCGATTGATCAAAGGATGTTTCTCTATGGAGAGTGCATCCATTAGCGATCAATGCTTGTCTGCAAATCTATGAAGGTTGCAAGGAAATTAAGCGATTGGAAAATGTATCTGATCTCATTTTCATTTCCTACGCTTTGTTCTTTATTGTGATTGTGGTGTTTGACAGATGATTTTTAGAGGTAAGCTGTAGTGTGTCATTAAAGAAAGAGTTTTTCTAAATTCTATCTAAGTAGGTACCTACTGCTGTTTGTCAAATGTTTTATGCAAATGTCATTTTAATTTTTAATCTTTAAAGATATATTTTTAAATCTTTCTTTTTTAAAGTTTCTAGGTTTCTAAATAGTCTAGATAGTGTGTGTATAATAGATATATAGCATTACGGTACCTTCATGTTGATTTTACTATTATAATAATTATCATCCGTGCGATTTTATATCGGCAATCAGTTCAACCATTCTTAAAGACCAAGAAAAGAATCTAACATTAATTCTTAGGTATATTGTAAGCAAAACGTATTATAAGTTCGATAAAGATTGTACTTCAAAAAACACCTACCATATCCAGATATTTTAAAAATGTCTTAACCTTCCTGTATCTAGGAAGGATTACTGAGGAAGCGATAAAAAAACCGCTCAATTCCACGAACCTAATGTTGTTGACATTCGAGACGTAAGCGTAACAGAGAACGGTAGCGGTAGCAATTTAAAAAATTACTCAGAGTATCATAGCCAGCCAGTGTTATTCCATGTTGGTTTAACACAATTCGTGGAACAGGGCACGATTTTATATAAAACAAATATCTAGGTGAACAAGGCTGTTTATTTACGATACCTTAGCCTCGTTCTGTTTACAAATAACTCAGCGTTTGACAGTAACTGGTTTTGACATTGTAGCGGTTTTTTTTTATAGGTATTGTATTTTTATTTTAATATCTAGACCATCCAGTGACCACGGTCAGCTGGCTAGAAGAGAATAATTTATAGCTTAAGAAATCAATATTAAGGTCAGTGGCCTAGAAGTAAAAGTGGCTTTACTTAAAACATCACACGACGTTGAACGTAAGTAAATTGTATGCTTGGGACTCACTCGTTCCATATCATTACACCGACTACCTACTCACACTTAGTAAGTACTCACTTACGCAGATAAGTATAAAGTTAAACGAGAGAATTTTATTCAACACAATGGTACCTAGACATGTCTGGCGCACTTTATTCAATTAAATAATTACTCACCATCATCATTGAAGTATGCATATTCTGAACTCAACACCTCGCTTGTTCCATATCGACACGGGAATCAAACCCGGCACCAATCGCCGCTTACATCATACGCGCCAAAATAAACTCCCGCCGAAAAAAACACACGTCAATCAACAAACACAAGGTTAAAACACCAAGTAACCAACACTGTAATTAAAACAATAGTTTAACGTTTAGTAAGAAAATAAATAACAAAACTAAACTGCATTAAAGTCACTGTGATCAGGTTACAAATAGTCATTCATAAATAAATGGAGTCACTATCGAAAACAAAACACGTTAAAGTTTGTAAATACGTAATTATTGAACGGAAAACTGTGTTACAAACACCACCTCCGCCTCGGTTCACGGCACTGCACTGACTGACGCGCGTGCCTACGATCTACCTACCTGATATCGCTAGCGCATTCCGACGCGGACAAAACCTTTACGTTAGAAAGAGATAGCCATACAAACATACTGCGTCTACGAAATTGCATTTCTGATTTTCGGTACACTTGCATTTCTGGATATGACGAACTGACTAGAAGTTAAAGTCGGGTTAACGTTAGTCTAGGAGCAATTCGATAGTTTACGCTACATTTAGAACGCTGTCATAATGAGTAGCCAGCATTTTATTTTTGGATTTTTTATGGCTGTATCAAACCCGGTGGCAATTGTTTTTGAGGGGTCTTTGGGCTTGACTTAATTTACACTCTGATGTCAGTAGCTAGTTAGTCATCTTTCTTTCTGTTTAAATCGACAGCTATGTACCTAATACTATGTATGTAAGTAGGTATATGACTATTTATTGTGTGAGATGTCTTTTTCCTTAAACCGATTAAAAATTATTAACTAGGTATATGGTAGTGTTGAACAAAATGTAATAGTTATAAAAAAAAAAATAAAAAAATATCAGGTAAAAAACGACGCTTTAATAATAATTAATGTATTATTACTTAAATTATACATATGTATAGTAGGTATTCTATATTTATACAATTTTTTCATTTAATAGTAAATAGTTAATATTCATGAAGAAAGAAAAGAGTATAGAATCTATCTAATATTGAAACAGATTTTTGACGTTAAACGCCCATGTTACAATACACGAATTCAAAATTCCATGCATTCGAAAAACAAAACAAAAAAAAATAAAGCTACTGGCAAGATTTTACCTCAACTGTCACATAGAACGTTTCGCAAAAATTTGAATAGGTACCCAAGAAAACTAGAGACAGAGAATTCCCAGCGGTGGAAAAGGGTCACTAGGCCGAATTCTTAAAAACCTAAGACCCAGTATAGGGCACAAAGGGTTTTTGGTAGGTACTTCTGTTAGTGTCACGTCTCCATGGGCCGTTGCAGAGTAAATATTTTAACACACCCAACCAAGTTCGAGAAGCGGAACCCCGTGCTATTCAAATATAAACACCTGAACAGAAAATAAATTTAGATGGGCAGGTACATAAGTAGGTATGTACTTACATAAAATGTAGATAAATTGTTTATTTCTAGGTTATGCGTATATATGAGAGAACGCGTGGAGTTTCTTAGAGGCTGCAGTCTATCTAGATATTAATGTAACGCCGCTCATGCATTTGCAAAAGGGTTGTTGTATTCGCAGTGAAATGGACTTAAGAGAAAAAGAGGAAGGAAGAAAGAAAATATATTATTTCACGTGCTAAAAATAAGACACAAATTCAGTGTACTAAACAGGTTGTAAGTACATGAACCAAGTCCACGCTGAAATACTTCAGTTTAGGATTTGCAAGACAGGAACTTGTGCCGGTTTTCTACTAACGTGAGGCGCGGATGAAAAGTAGCCAAAGGCAATTTTCACGTAATTGCCTTGATCCATATTGGTATTGGGCAACCAATCATCAATCAACCATTAGCAGATTAAAGAAAACATCATATTGGCCAAAAGTTCTGATACATTTCTAATGACAACTTACATATTAAGTTACTAACAAGCAGTCCGAATCATTCCGATTACCTGATGGTAAAGAAATCAGCGAGGCCCATGTACACTCGCAACAGCAGAAGAGTTACGAATGCGTTGCTGCGTGTCCGATTTAATTGATTGGGCCTTTTTGCCAGTTTTCTGTGAGGCCATGTATCTCTGGTCGAACCTACCCATTCGTGTTGAACCTAACAGATCCCTCGAGAACAAAACCAACGAAAAGTAACTTAATAGTGTACTTTTGCCAACCACTCTGGCACTTACATTTATTTTATTTTAGTAAGCTATTTTATTTAAAATATTATTCTGCAGGCCTATAAAAATTCAGACGGTCCAGAATCCTAATTTAATATGCAAATAGTAATCAGTTTTCAAATCGTTCCGACCTTCCACACGAGGTTTCGGGTGGTCCTTCCTTAACTTTACCCATTGTATACTAACTTTCAACATAAAACTGGAAATTGCGCATATAAGGGATTTTAGTAAGTTTATAAAAACATTTTTGGCGTTGATTTAGTTCTTCCCTTCATCTCTTTAAGTATTTGTTATGTGGGTATGCCAGTTGTCCGACTTCTCATTATTTCTGCTTCAAGCAAGAATTCTTATAATGTTTTGTCATTTCATCCTAAACGAAGACTCAATGTAACAATTCCTGATGCAAGGGAGAATATAGGGCCAGCGTCCTTGTGGTCGGTCACCAACTAAATGGACGAACCTTATAAAGTCAGAGATATCCAGCCCAGTAAAAAAAAAACAAAATGGCAAACAGCTCACTGGTTGACATGCTGAAATATTATGACGATATCATACAGTGATTTCTTTATTAAAAAATAATTTCACAAACATACACTCAATCGCAAAATTACTTTCGGCACAAAAAACACAAGATCTTATTTAAACAATATTTGCAAATCTATTTATTCGCCATACTGCGATAATTTCCATAATAAGTATAATGTGCACCCCTGTTTAATGTGCACAAGGGGACTTGCAAACAAGTGCATTAATACCAGTGTTGCCACATAACAAATAATGCAGCAAGCATCCATCATTCTCGGAAAAATGGAACACATGTGAATTTTCGTGTCATCCAACAGTTGGTCAACTATTTTTAAAATCGGCAAAAAAGGGGCTGTCTTTTGACAATGCAACGTCCCCCTTGTAGTAATAGCGCATATGTATTATACCTACTATAATAAAAAAATAAGATGAACAAGTGTAGTTTTTGTACAAAGTAATCGAATACTTATTCGATTAAAATCCTACTAACATTATAAATGTGAGAGTTTGTGACAAGTACGTATTTTTCTTTCACGCAAAAACGTTTGGACTGATTTTGTTGAATTTGGAATTATAAGTGATACCCTGGTAGTGATCGATGTACCCTGGATTAACACATAGGCGCTCTTTATCAATAATTCAATATACCAAACGGGTGAAACCGCGGGCGGAAGCAAATTGGGATTTTTTTAATTGATTTTATGATGATTTATGATTAAGATTAGCCTAAAATCGTTTGTGTTTGAGTTTTTTGTGTGGCACACAATTTCATGTAGATAGAAGTATCAAAATACCAAGTTACCCAGAAATAAGACTAACAGATACATTTATGGGCCTTTTCAGTATCTCACATCGGGAACCTTCGTAGTTACTAGGGCAACTGCAACCAGGCAATCCTTTGTCACCATAACTACAAACGCCGTTGTTCAAGCAATAATTGTAGCACACATTGGTTTCACACCTTTTTCCAAGATATAACTTATCGCATCTGAAATAGGAAAAGAGGAAAATTAAATTTTAAGTCACCAATGATAGTTGCGAAATTTGCTAAAACTGAATAATAGCAGGAAATTTTAAGCAAAAATGTAATAAGGAAAGTCAAACAGTAGTTCTGTACAAGAGGTATTCATATCTAGTTAGTACCTAACAGCTTAAAATTAAACGAAGCACCAAGCACAGATCAAAGCAATACGAAATTAAAACTTACTGGCATTCTGGTTTTCCGTCGCTATTAACGTTGCAAACTCCATTCAAACAGAAATTGTGACATAATACAATTTTGCGTTCCTCATCCGTCAAATAATTGCCTTCAATATTCATCAATATCAAATCATTAATGCTGGTCGTCGTCTCATCTCGCATAGAACTATGGAACGGGTTGATAGTCCCGGAAGGATAGTTAGCTGCTTTTTGGTGTTTTTGTTTCTTGTCATTTTTAGCAATAGAATCAAAGACACTTGTTTTAGAGTAACTTGGGAGTAAAGCCCTCAGTGCAACGCATTCTTCGTTCCCTTCAATTTGATCTTCCATTTTATAGTTAGCAGCAATACCGAAAGGTGTTTCATTGAAGTCTGTCACAATTATAGGCTCAGAATCTATTGATAAACTCTTTGATATTTTCCAAATAGATTTGTAACTCCAATCTACCCAGTAGACGAAGTCTTTCGAGACGGTCAGAGCATTCGGTTGATGATAAAATCCAGATATCAAAGTTATTCTGTTCTTCCCATCCAAATCTGCAGTTTCAATTGTATAATGTATACCTTCTTTGTCATCAGCCCAAAACATTTTCTTGGTCCGCTGGTCAATGGTCAAACTGACTGGCATGTAGATGTCATCATCTATTAAGACCTCTCTTTCGAAACTGTTGTAGCGACTCCTCTCTATTGTAGGCTTCGTGACGTTAGTGTTGGTCCAGTAAACATACCTGCAATTTGTATATAACGATCAGTTTTTGCTAAGTTCAATAAACACCATGAAGTTACATAACTATCAATTAGGTAAAAGGAATTAGTTACACACCCGCTACAGCTGTCTACTGCAATAGATCTGGGGATCTCATAATCCATCTTGAACAAAAGATTGCCATAAACATAGTTCTCATATCCATGCTCCAATGAAATCCAGTATATGCTTCGTTCATATGTGTCAGTCCAGAAGAGCAACTTTTTTATTGGGTCAACGGCGACATCTTGGATGTTTTCATATGTTTTCTTTGCAACTAAACTATGATATTGTTTAGTTAATTGGTTATAGCTAAATATAGAACCGTTGTCGCTCTGTTTGTCGACAAATATTAAGGTCTCGTGTAGAGCATCATAAGTTAATGCTGTGAGGTCTCTGGACGGCAATGTTTCCGACTGTAATTTGACTCCATTGTCGTAAAATACTAGTTGTTCTCCTACGGTCGCGACAAAATCTGGAATAGACAATTTTTGTAGGTTAAGTATTATGCCACGAGGCCAAAAGTAGGTACATTTTTGGATTTTTGGGTCGAATTTTTGGGCTGAACTTAAACTTTTAGTTACCGGTGTAAATAACTGTTACTTTCCTAGTTCTTAGACAATAACTATGTACAGCTAATTACGAGTATTGCAAGAATTTATGTCTGAAGCTTATTAATACTATAGTAACGTGAGAATGAACAGGAGAGAAATAGAAAGAGACTTACCCCAAGACTGTACCACAACAACAGGTGAGATTACCAATAAAAATAGTATGTTGTACATTTTCTATTCCTTCATACACATGCATGCATGAGACTCTCCTGTGACCAAATGGTCCCGAAGCAATACGTTTTAAGCTAGTTTTCCTCTACCTACACGATAAGAATTAATAATTTTTATCACAAACTGGTAGTTTCCTTATTTTTAGAGATATCTACGGAACGGTGCTAACCGGCCCTAGACCGTTACTTATGAGAGAACGCTTTATTTATAAAATACCATTTTTAATTTTTGAAAATCGAATAGTACTATGAAACTTTTTCTTACCTGGACTAGAGATCCTAGAATTCAGGTTCCCATCGACAAGTCACACATCACTATCAGCTATCACTTATTGAAAATGACACCCTACATACAAACCAATTTTACCTCTTTAGAATATTAGTACCTATACTTAGATAACGACTTACTCACATGAATTAACTGAGAAAGATCTACTTCGAGTAGCTCCAAGTCACAAGCTCATGCTCATGAATAAGAGTACCGTTACTAGTCATCCTGAAATTAATAAGAGTACGGAACTTAAACTCCGAGTCACATTAGTTCATTCCAATACCTAATATAAAAGCTAAGTTTCACTAAAACATTAAAAATTTAAATGTTTTAGTGAAACTTTTAATCTTAATTACATATGTAGGTACCTAAGCTTCATGGAAATATCAAAAAATAATGATGTTGTTGACTAGGAAATAGGTAACTTAATTACCTTTTTTACAAACTGGATTAGGTTTTTCATTTTCTTAGGTAGGTAACGTAAAACTAAACTTAGTAACTGATTATGCAAGATAGTGTGTACTTACTTAGATGAGATGTTATGACTCGAGAATCTGTTAAAATTGCTAAAGGTCTCAAACAAAATCCCCGAAATGGGATGGGATGGGATCTGAGATGCTTTACTGAAAGAACGATTCACCTACTGTGAAAAATTATTCGTTTTTGAAAATGGTCGTACCTAGAATGTAGGGGAAGAATGGAATTTATAGTAAGTAAACTTAGTCCTATGTAATAGGGAGTGACCCTATTACATAGGACTAAGTGCTTAATTGCTAAAAAGCGTTACACAAACTCTGCGATGTAAAGAATAAAACTTCTGATGGGCTCTCGTACGTACTAATCCTAGATATGAATACTACTTTTAATACTGCTAACGCCATCTATGAATTAGCGCGAACAACCATATGATTTGCTTTGCATGTATTGTTTTTCCAACTTTACAAAACATTCAATAGATGTCTCTTTAATTAATTATATGAACACTTTATTTTATTAATTTAAATCTAACTGTTTTACCATTTTAATAAATAAAAGTTTATATAAATTGTTTGTTTAAATTTTTTTGCTGGCCCATTGGCTATTAAATGTGCAACGTGCAAAACTTTATAATGACAAATAATAGATGTCGCTAAGTGTCCCTAAAACCACAGTAAACACATTTTTATACTGAGCTAATGAATAATGCATGTACTAACCGACTTACAACCTAAGGAGGTTTACAATTAAGCATGTGTATGTATGAAAGTTTTTTTGTAATTAGCTCACGATTAACTTAATTAAATTAAATCAATTTAATTGCGGTTTTCAAAAGCGTACTTTTTTGCACTCAATTAAGTGTGGGAGAGCCAAGCTTCGGGTTCGGCACGAATAGGTCGGCTCGGCCGGAGTGATACCACGGCCTCACAAAAAACCGGCGTGAAACAACCACAGCGTTGTGTTTCGCCGTGTGAGTGAGGTTACCAGAGGCATAATCCCTAACTCCTAAAAGGTCGGCAACGCACTCGTAACGTTCCCTTGCCCTTGCCGTGTCCATGGGCGGCGCTGAATGCTTACCATCAGGTAAGCAGACTGCTCGTTTGCCGACCTATTACATAAAAAAAAAACTCGTTGTATTATTGTTTGTTGAACTCCAGTGTTGTAAAAATTAAGTAAATAACAATAAAACTGAACTTTTTTCAATGTTATTTTGTATGATAAAAAGTCTTTGAAGAAACTGGGATAGGCTACTATTAGAAGCATCTCATCTTTTAAGTTTGTTAAAGTTACCTAATGTTATTAGGCCTTAAGTATTTTTGAAGTCGGTCGGTTCAAAAAAGTATATAATAATATTTTCAAGAGCAATGCACAGCTAACAATATCTACTCACGTAAAAATTATAGCGTTTGCTGCTTATTATACTAGGCTCCCGGCACAGTTTGAAAGAGAAATTTCGAGAGTAAAAGAGAAGACCGATTTAAAAGAATGTGCGGAGTCTGTTATTTTCCAGGTTAATAATACACTATTTAGGCAAACTATTTAAATCAAATTATTCACAACTTATTATAATTTTATCTACACTGACAATCACAATGATACCACATAACCTTAATTAATCCAGTAAGCGAGTAGGAAAAACGTCAGAGTGCAAAAATTATGTGGCTCGTTACAAAGGTCAATGTCCTATCATATATCGGAATATATGCATATAATAAGTTAATTATATAGTAGACATATTAATGTAACTTTTTTTAAGGTTAGAAATTCATCCTAGAACTTTTCTGGTCCTAGATGAGGCGGCGGGAATGTGAAATTCTCGCTGGCTTTTTTTGCCCTAAGTTGTAAAATTCTCATGGAGTCCTTTCGCCTGGGGCGACAAAGGGAACTTTCAGACTTTACCTAACTACTGACTTAAAACCATGCTTGGTGTACCGTCCCTCACGTGTTCCTTTTCCTGCTCCAATCCTGGCTTCGGTGCATCATTGCTCTTGCAACCCCGATAATTGCTTCGTCGCGGCGCCTCATTGCGCTTACCCTTACTTAACCTCATTGCAACCCCGGCAGTGTCCTACGGTTATCATACCCTGATCGAAAAAAATAATAAATCGATTTTGGGCTTTTAGAATTTGTAACCGATTTAGGACAGTGAATAAATACAACGTAGCTGTACCGCCCTTTTTACCTTTGGAAAAAGAAACTAGACAAAAGCGCATATAAAAAATACTTTTTTAAGTAAACAAAATAAAATTATATTTTATTGTAACAAAAAAAGATTGAAAAAACGGCTCATTCCCGTGAAGTAATTGAGTAAACCAGTCTAAAGTTGCAACAGGACACTGATTGGTTATGTAATCAATTACTTATGACACAAAGATAAATATCCTTGTACCTACTTGCTTCCGCCCGCAGTTTCGCCCGCGTGGTATGTTGATTGGCAGGCTATGTGTTACTGTTAATCCAGTGTTAGAAATGGGATCATATCACCTAACAATCTAGATGCCAAATCGGTCCAGCCAGTTTTGCGTGAAAACATAACAGATACACATCCATATATTCTCACATTTATAATACTTACTAGTTTTTCCCGCGACTTTGTTCACGTGGAATAGTGACTTCCTGCAGATTTTTGGTTAAAAACTATCCTATGTCCTTTCTCGAGTTGCAAACTATGTCTGTACCAAATATTAGTTTAAAGGCGTAGTTACTTATTTCACATTCATCATATTAGTTTGGAAGTTTGGATTTGGATAAGTAGGATAGGTAGCATATCGTTAAAATGTCATTTAGGGACAGTTTTAAATCGAATTCCCTCTTTAGTTCAGTTTTTTCTTAGAGGAAATTCATATTTATACTGCTCATTTTATAATCTATACCTCTCTTATAATTTCCGATTGTAACTTGACCATACAGTCTACTAGGGGAGCGGTCAGACGGGGATTATCCCTACGGCAACTGGCAAACACATGTCTAGGGGTGCATCATTGGAAAGGGTCGCGAATGATCTATACTTATACATATCACTACAGAGTATAAAATAAAGTTCCTTATTCTGTCCCTATATCCGTATGTATAATTGAATTTATAAAACTACGCCACGGACTTTGATGTACTCATGATGTAGTGGTTGAAGAGGAATGTTTATATGTAGAAAAACATCCATAAAATAGTGAATGTAGTACTATGGTAAGTAGTAAGTAGTGTAGTAAGGTAAGTGGTAAATTATCTGCTTTGCATTTGTGCGTAGCTGGAGCGGATCGTTAGAAATGTATGTATAAAAACGAATTATTAAATGTGTAGAACTAAAGTCAATAACGCCTTTCCTAAATTTGTCTTATTCTTTTTTTGTTGTGTTTGTTATTTTCAGGAGGAGGATATTCCTGGAGGATTTTCTTTCACGACGCAAAAACAAAGTTAGTTATTATATGGACTTTGTTGAGTGTAGAACAAAATTCCGTGCGTTTAGGCGTTTTGCCATACCTTTGATTGGTAACAAGTACCTATACCAGTTCATACATAGGTCCCATTACAATTACAATACAAAATTTTCCGAGGGATTTGGTGATAGGGCTTCTCCCAGTATTACAATCTCTTTTGTGCCTTTTAGGCATAAATCATTCTGTCTCCTGCATTAAATTTACCCAGAGAAGAAAACTATGTCGTTATTTCTTCTCCTCAAATAATATCTTCTGATTTATTTCGCTGCGGGATGTAAGACAGGCATTCATGTCCCTGGGACGCGCCGGACTTCAGTGTTCCGTCGTGTGATCATGGTTGTATCTACTGTAGATCCTGGCTTACTTACAGGAGTTGCAGCTATTTTCGGAGGCAGTGGCGTGCTTGTCCCTCTAAAAAAAAGAAAAAACAAATAACTTAAAACTTAGCGACAAATCAGCAAGGAACAAGAGTCAAATTAATAAAACTTTAATTAATCCTTCAGAGTACAAATTGTTTCATGTTTTTTTTATATCTTAATCACAAGCCGTTTCTTCGTTCTCGGAAATATTGGAACGAATAGGGAAGTGGGGGCGGAAGTGTTGAATCGTGACCGGAAGTCCGTCAGCCATTATCGTTATGATCTAGATCATGTTTCGCGACATTGTCCTACGTTTGGTTATGGTAATTATAAAATTTATTACATGTCCGTCATGTGACATGGTGTATTATTTTATTAGTAAGTACGTATCTATTCGCGTTTTACTGTTGTGAATTGTAATTACTTAATCTTAAAAAAAAAACAGATCAGCGAAGTTAACTAAAATTCGCGGGTTACTCACGTGTAAATGTTGAGAAAAGCTCTACTAGTTTCGAACCACAGAGGGGTTCTTCCTCATGAGCAGCGTGCGCGGACGCGGCGACGTCGCGCACGAGTAGTAGAGCTTTTCTCAACATTTACACGTGAGTAACCCGCGAATTTTAGTTAATTTAGTATGTCTCACGATAGTTATTATAAAAACAGATCAGCGAAGATTATAAGGCACCTGTTTGTCGTGCAGGATAGTGCAGGTTCGAAAGCTGTCAAGCACATATTTGCCTATTTCAGAGTTACTACTTATATACGGTTAACTTGGACTTATAGATAATTTTAAGTTTGAAATCGCTGAACCGCATTGAGCAAGCGTAAATAGTGATTAATGTTCAAACCTTCCCTGAGTGAAGCATTTGCTCCGTATTGGGCACTCATAGGCTAATGATGATGTTGATACAGATTTAGATAACTTAGATAAGTAATAGACTTGGGGTTTACTTTTTTGTAAGGGGAAAATTATTAAATGACTTGTCCCGTACGGGGTAGTGCGGAATAGAGTGTCAGACTCTGACCGACTTTTTTTATGTAATTAGTCGGCAAACGAGCAGACGGATTACCTGATGGTAAGCAATCATCGCTTCCCATTGACACCCGCAACGGAGGAGTTTCGAGTGCGTTGCCGACTTTTTAGGGACTTGGGTTTTGGAGATTTGGCGAAACACAACGCTGTGGTTGTATCACGCCGGTTTTCTGTGAGGCCGTGGTAACACTCCGGTCGAGCCGACTCATTTGTGCCAAAACATGGCTCTCCCACACTTATGACTACAACAACTAACTAAAAACAATACGTTCCTTCTCCTGGTCTAGGCCGTGGTGCCTCATTGCGCTTATCCCGCAACCCCGGCTGAAGTGATATACTTACTTACTTGTAATTAAGTGAAGAAACGAAGCGTTACCTCGATTCTTTTTATATACATATTGGATATGGTATAATTAAGTACGTATTATTAATAATTACTAAGTCATATGTACTACTGTACCTACTGAGTGAAATGTATTGAAATCTGTTGATAGAACAATTTGTTCTATTGAATACACTTGAAAATGTTATACTCTGTATGACGTTCTGTAACACCGTGTTTCTGTTAAAATGTTCTACGAAATTACTTATTGATATCAGCCATAAACATAAAGAAACCGAAGGAAAAACGGGGCTAAATACCGCATTATGATTGAGCAATTTTCAAAACATTTGGCACGTGTGTGTTTTAACACAGCAACAAGTGTTGAAAATTGTGTCAAATATGACACACGCGAAAAACTTGTTTAATCAACAAAATGAATGCTTACCGTTCAACTATGTATACGTACGCTGAAAGATACCTAGTGCTATGAGTAGTTTCACTTGACTATATTAGAGTCTAAGTAATCTGAGCCGAACTTCGTAAGGCCACAAAAAATACTACAGATGGTTCCAAAGTTTATTAAAAGTAGAATGACAATTTTGTTTGGGCCTACGGTAACCTCTTGACACGGCGAAACACAAACCAATCGTTGTTTCACACCAGTATTCGGAGTCAGAGAATCCGTTCGACCTATTAGTACCGAAGTAGGGCTCTCATATACTTTTAGTACCGGAGTACAACATAGATGACTTACAAGTTAGTCTTAAACAAATTAATAACTTCATAATCAAATCAAGATAATTTAATAAAATAATTAAAAAAAAGAAAATATCAATGGTCCGCCCTTTTTCAAAATAAACGTAATCGTTTTTTTAATTTTAGCAAACGACAAAATACAATTTTATATACCTACCTATGTATACATATAGCGAGTTACTGTTCCCGTCAATCCCGATTTGACCCTCCACTTGGGAGCCCCTTGACCTCAACGTTATCGAGGCATGCATAAACCAAGACTATCATTACGGATACAAAAAATCTTTAATTCAAGATAAAGTCTGGTGGCCTATTTTGACGGGGTTATAGACCTAACTTCGGCCACGGCCGTTTGACGAAAACAACTGACTCAACCTTAAAATAGAATTTACTTGAACGACTTTTATTTATCTACCTATGTACTAATTTTAGTTAAAAATGGTACAAATACAGCAGAAGACCATCTAAATTAGGTAATTTTGAACACGCTTTTGTTAAGTCCACGTTCAATAAGCTAAAATTTTCTCCTGTGTCCTGGATGCGTTTACAAAAATATCATTATGATTTAGACCAGGGCAGAAGCCTTCAAAAATAATGAAAAGTGAAAAAAAAATATAATAGAATGAAACCCATTAGAAAAAGAGGGAAATATGATAAAAATGAAAGGAAAAATAATTTACGGTAAAAACTTGGTTTTTTGAATTTTTCAAATAAATTTTAAGGTTATATGAAAAAAGTGTAAATACAAACGTTTTATTATCTACAACTTTTCCATTTGACTTTTTTCGATAGGACTTTTACTTTTGCCGGAAATCGAGAAAAACCGTTTTTTACCCTTAAAACCTCCCCCACCCCCTTCCCAACCTCAGATCGCCCGTAAATTATTTTTCCTTTCATTTTCATCATATTTCCCTCCTTTTCTAATGGGTTTCATCCTATTATGATTTTTTTTGGTTTTAAAAATTATCGACCCTTGACTAAAGCACGTAAAGTATTATTCGGTAAATTTTTATTTTTTGTGTAATATTTATTTTTGTACGTTTTCAACTTATGCATGTGTAGCTAAATAAATGGTTTAAATGGTAAACGGTGCGGGAATCGATCCCGCAACATCTTGCACGGCAGTCTGTCACCGCGTCAACCGTGCAATCGATAACACAGAAGAACTTTTTAAGCTTTCAGTATAAGTAGTTAGGATTTTTTTTTTTTTGAATATTTGTTATTATTTTTTCTGCTTTTTATTTATTTTCTGTTACTCTCTTACCTTATTTATATGTAGGTAGTTAACCTACTCAATCAACGTTAAATATTTATAGTCAGTAGTCACTACGTATAATATAATTATGACAAGGGTAGGATTAATTTCTTAGCTAATACTCTTTTTGTGTTAATTGTAAAAGAAAACAGCAAATCATTCCGACAATGTTTTGCAATTAAGTAGGTAAGTATTTATACGTTGTGACCTTGTTTTTTTTTACAATCATTTGTCTATTTGTTCAAAACTTACATTCTCCTTCTTCCGCTTATTAATTTTAATGATAGTTATCCGTTTTACTATTTATTTTAATTGATGACCAACATTTTGACCCACTTGTTAGAACTTATTGTTTTAAAAGATAAGATTGTAATCTCAAAAGTTAAGTAGGTACCTAGGTTTAACTAAATAGGTGCTAGAGAAAATTCTTACAAAAAAAATTAAAGTTTTGTTAGAGCTTAGAGCAGAGTCAAGATGTAAGAAAATGCGTTTATTTTTTTACAAAATTCATTGAAATGTACTAAAATCGCTACAAGGTAGGTAGGTACGTGTACTTCACTACACATACAAATCAACTACTTATTCAAGACTAAAAACTGCACTATGTAAGTACTTTCATCACTATCACTAAGATACACATTATTGCTTCACACACAAACCATCCTTGTCTGTGATAAGAACGTCACCGCTAGCATGCGCGAATATTTTTTCAATGGACCTATTTAGACTCCGGTTCGTGTACGCGGCAAACCGAACCGGCGTTTTGCTGTTTGCTTCAGTTTCTCAATAGCAAGCGACGGAGGTGGACGCGAGTGTCGCGCGCGCCATCACCTCCAGTGAAACTCGTACAACGTATTTCAAACTAAATGTGCATTTAACTGTACGGATCTGTATTTATGAAATAAAATGTGTAAAACGCAGTGTGTTTTGGCGTTGCTAGCGCTCTCCGTGGGGGTGGCGCACTCCTGGGGTGAGTACGAGGGAATAATCAGCTGATCAGGCATTTTTAACGCACGTGCTAAATTTTCTATTTTACTTCGTTACATAACATAACAAGACGAGGTTATTTGCTACGACACAGTGATGATACACGTTAAGGTTATTCATCGCGAACGGAATTTGTGTGTCAAAAATTGTGGCCACGAGTATGTCGATAAGGGTGTATATCGCTTGGCGCGGGGCGCCATTGCACGTCGGTCCTCAGTCACGTAGGCCACTTTTAGCGTACCGCGTGAACCCTGCCGCGTTGAGAATACTCTTCCGAGTAACATTCACGTAAGAACGCTATGCGTTTACATTTAGCCGCGTTGTATTGCTGAAATTTGGAAACTAATGATAAGAATTCGCTGTGAACTATTACATACCTTAAAAAACGCAATAACATAACATTAATTACTAAAAAAAAATATTGGTATGCTTCATAAATAATACAAAATAAATAATGTCACCTTTATTAATTCACTGCTACTTACTTTATTATAATTAGTTTCACCTACTTACTTAACTTAGTTGAATATTTATAAATAAATACTTGTGTAGTAAGTACATACATGTAGAATAGATTCATTGTGTTTAAATAGTAATAGTAGATATAAGAAAATGCCTGTTATGTAAGAAGTAGTGGAGTAATGACACTTATTGTAGCTTGGTAAGGACGATTGTAGGGCGATTCAGGCGGGCGGGAAACAGATGATACCGACGTCGTTAGATATTAGGCGGGCGGCTTATAAAATTAAATGATGTAGTTGCTAAATGCCACATAATATAGTATATACTTACGACGCACTCCACTTACTAAACTTTATGGCATATAGCATACAAAATTACGTTCGATATTTATCTGTTACTTCTTACATTACACGAAACAGGCCAGATAGGTACCGTAAAACGGGGTGAATAGATGTTGGCGAATTTTCTTATTTTAATTAATTATTCACCCCGTTTTACCGTTAATATTTATTTTGTTGCTCCTGGTTGCTTTAAGAGTTTCTCTTTTTTATTTGTCTATAGTTTGTACTTAGTAGGTATGTAGTAATAATACGTTATTAATCATTTTCTTTAGTAACTATAATCTTTATTTACGATCTTCTAATAAGGTTTTAAGTTTTAATAAAATACATTGCTGTTTACAACAGTGCATGTATATTGTATACATAATATACTGCTTGATGAATAATGATTGACGATAAATATTTGTAAATAAATTGGTGACAGGGTTGTAGAAGAATTTATAAACTAGACACGAGAATGACTAAAACAAAAAAAAAATACGCGACGAATTGAGAACCTCCTTCTTTTTTGAAGTCGGTTAAAAAAGCTAGTTATAGTTTTTTTTATGTCTACTAATGAAAAAATCCTGACTGAATTAGATATTAAGTCTTACCTACCAACTACCAAACGTGCTTATTGCCAAAATTATGACCTATTTTTTTATCTTACATGTGAAAAACTTATTATTTTATAGTCCATTATTTCTGTCTGGACTAGTATCTTTAATTTTTCCACAAGTAGTTATAAATATTTTTCTTTTGTTATCCAATTCCGCAAATGTTATTTAATGTCTTGTTATTTAGTTTACGATAAGTTGATGACTGATGATGAGAATTAGAAATTGAATAAGATTTTTTTGCTGCCATCTTTTGTTGTGTATTTTTTTATTATTCAATATAAAAAAAAAACACTTAAACACTAAAGTCTAAGACGATTATACATATACGCCGTGTTGCATAGATTTTTTTACCTCTTCTAAGAAAAAGGTACCTATCCTATGTATATGTATAAGATAATTATTTTTAATTGTTTGTCGTTAAAAACATTGTTCTCAACATTGTTATAAGCTATGGCATTGACCTGAGTGTCAGCATTTACGGCTAAGCACTTAAAAAAAATTCCTCTTGTGAAAAACAGATTTTACACGTGAACAACGAAAATTAAATAAAATACTTGTAAAATACAAAACGTATAAAAAAAATAAACTTAGTAATGTTGGCCAGGAAATTAAACACGTTTATAATAAAAAGTTTTTGATTCTGCAAACAAAAAAAATAAATAACGTGAGTTAGGTATAAAAAAAATTGGTGCAAAACAAGCAATTTCTTTGGTTTGCAGATTTAGGTCTATTCTATACATTCTAACAATATTAAAGTAAACACTGCTTATGTATTATTTATAATAATGTATAATTTTAAAACTTTTTAAATTATTCTTTATTCTTATTTTTTTCTTAAGAATAATTTCGATTTTTACGCATTCTGTCCACCATTGATTTATTTTTGTACTTATTTCTAACTATGTAAGTATTTTATGTAAAATTATAATATTAAGTTTTGTGTAAATATCGTAATATTGATTTTAATTTCAAACGAAAATAGCTTTTACTTCTGTGTACCTAAAAGCGAATTTTATTTGAACATTGATTATTTTAATAGGATCCTCAAGCTAGTGTTTTTATAATCATTAATTTCCTCAATTATATTAAGAAACAGAACGCAATGATTGTTTGATTAAAAGAACCTTTAATAAGCGTCAATATATTTTTTTAATTGTTATTAATAGCAATAAAGTTATAAAATAATAGATAATATTTATGTACTATGTGCACTATCAGCAAATTAAAAAAAAACATGATTTATTGATTCATTTACATTTTTTTTGTAATGTACAATAAAACTTTATCGTACATTACAAAAAAAATGTAAATATACATAGCATTACGCCCCGCATTTTTTTTTTAAGATTTTTAAGTTTTAAAAAAGGCATTATTTAAAATTAAATCATAAGAAATACATTTATCCAGGCATAATTATTCACACATATTAACTTACTTTAAACCATCATAGCGAAAGTAACAATTTTTTTTCAAAATGTATGTTCACATCTCTCCAATGGCTGAATCGAATTTGATAATTCTTCTTTATTTTGTTTGGCAAACACGACTCACGTGTAGTTTTTAATTTATAATCACGTGATAACTATGTACTTAGAGTTAAATTAACCACAAAGTCATACATATCACTTATTAATAAATAATAATACATATAAATGCTAATGAAATAAATTGCTAGAAATTAATTATGTTGTTGATGGTACTTATTACGATAATAGAACAGAAAAACTTTTAAGTAAGTCCGTAACTTGATCGATGCAGTTAAGTACCTACTCGACTAGTTTCAAGCAACGTCGTGGGTCTATAATCAGGATTTATACAGATGTTCGATTTTGAACAAATCACAGCTATCCTCTCGGATTAATTTAATTATTATAAGTGTGAACTATAAATAAAAGGAAAACAAGTCACACACGGACACCTGCGATGCCAAAAGAGTAACAAGTGCCTCTTAAGTGTTTTTTTGTGAGGGGAAAATCAGGGGAGGCAGTGTCAGACTCTTACTAACTAAAAACCCCCCCTGTTCCTTCTCCTGCTCTGGGCTGAGGTCGCGGTGCCTCATTGCGCTTACACCGCAACCCCGGCTGCCTTTTAAATGTTGAGGGCCCGTTCGTGCTAAAGTTCCACACTTAAAATAAAGAAGCAAATAGGTACAGTGTCCATAAAAAATATCATTAAAAAGTACAATCCTCAAAACTAGTGCCTACCCCAACACTAATTCTATTTACTACGGCGACACACTTCAGCGGCCATGATAACGCGAAAATTGTATGAAACACTCAACATTGAAATATAATAGTTCACCTTTCTTTGCTTAGAACAATTCAAGCCAAGAGCAGGTTGTAGTCACTTATGAATGCTACATACAGATATTTATGTACGTTGTTAATCAAATATTACATTATTTAAAACCTTTTTTTTATTAGTTTTTTTTTTAAAAAAAAAACGTTGCCCCACACTAGGATTTTCTCCTGTGTCGTGGGTGCGGTTACAAACATACAATTTCACATGCACATGACACAATTTGTGGATTACACAAAGAGTTGTTCCGTGCGGGAATCGAACCCGCGACACGGCAGTCAGTTGCCCAGCCACCGCACCAACCGTGCAGGCACTTCAGTTATCCGGCTTAGTTACATTATAACGAAGTACATGATCAATAAAAAAGCAAAACTTGGTGTGTCCTAATAGAGCTGTGTTGTCCTAACTTTTTTCGTTGCAGACCTCCAAATAATTGAACAATTTATTCTTATTATTATTATAACAACAAAAGTGTTGATAATAATGAATTATATAAAGCAATTACGCGAATTATGTCAGTTATAAAAACGTGACGGTTAGTTTGCGAAGAACCTTGCAATTTGTTCAAGGAGAATTCTGTTGTGAAATCGGTTTAATTTTAACTATTGTAGGACGTAAGTTAAGTGTTGCTTGTTAGTGTGCGTGTTGTTAACTATTTGCATAACATAAGAGTTCGATTTATTTGTCACTTCAGGTCCACAACATGATTACAAATTAAATTTAAAAAAATCGTCTACTAATTGGTCTAATCTTATTCATAACATAAAAGTGGTATTTCAAACAAATGCATTCGGGCTATGCAAACGTTTGAAAACCTAGCTATTACTATACTATAACTGCCTATACTTTTACTGCGAACTGTATTATACTTATTACTTCATAGAAAACACTATTTTATTTATCAACCCTGCAATTAAAGTAGAAAATCTTGAAAACAAGACAAACTACGTGTTAAATGAAGTAGTTCTTAAGATAAATAGTGATAGAGGGTACTTACACTACTTAAAATTTATCGTTTCTAGTAGATGTCTTTATAATCATTATTATCAGCGCGTGGTAGGACTAGGAAGTATTGTGTTATCAATCCTTATCGATAATTTATGTAGATTAAATTGTTGTCTAATAGTAGCCTAGTTATGTATTTAAGTTCTATATAATCTGAGTTTTTAAATCACGATCACACAAATACTACTTATTGCTTATTTTTAAACTTTAGTATATGTATACATTATATGTCAATAATACTACAAATACTACTTTGAAAATTCCACGTTTCGCCAAGC